TTTCTGGTCCGAGAGGAGGAAAGACATGGTGGACTGAGGTCGACTGAGGTACTTTTGTTTTTTGCCACGACGTGTTTCCTCCTCGCGATGCGGCGCGCATCAAATCAGACGTCTTTTAAAAAAACATTAAACTGTGTCATATACTTTTTATCATATCTTCGCATCTACTTGGCCTAACAACACAATTTAAAAACTGGTTTAAAGTTCTAAGTCTCTGCTTTTCACTCAAGTCTCAGACAGGGCGGATCTACAGGTAGTTTTTTTTCTTCCTAAACTTTATTTAGGTCAGACAACACTTCGTGGGTGACGTAAACAGCTCCGCTACACGGCGAGGGACGCATAAATCCTGCAACACAACAAATCGATAATGAAATTAGTTGCCAACGCTTTTAATAATCAATTTTTATAGATTTGTTGTTGCAGCCCTAATTATAACATGATATAAAAGTCAAAACTGTTGATTTTCCATGACCTAGCCCCTTTAAGTCCTGTAATGAAGTGAACACCTGTGCGGACTGTCCCTGCACAGCACTGTACCCAGCCCTAACAGTCAGGGCTGACTCCTGGAGTTTCTGCAGTAAAACTCAGAGGAAGTGTTGATAATGACTCTCAGCTACCATCACTGTAAAACTGACTGTACTTACCGTGTTCAACCAGCTGACAACTTGTACAAGTTTAACTAACAGTTACTCAGTTGTCGACGTTCATCTAACATTCCCCTCATCAGGTTCATTCAAACTTGTGTACGTGAGATATTTTACTAACAGAGAAAACCTTACAGCCTCTCTGCTCTCAGTGTTGAGGACTAAAGTGAAGTTATTTCTGCAGGAGGAGCACAATAAGCTACATGTTAGCAGGTTTTAGTTTCTGACCTCCTTCCTGGCTGCAGGCTGTTTGTTGGTGGACTGAACTGTGCAGTTGTTCAGATTCCTCTCTCCAAACACAGGTCGAGGAACGTTACGCAGTCCTGCCAAATCCTGGAGTAAACAAAACCAAACAAACCTGTTAGAAAATCAGGACAACATGAAAAGATGATCTGATCCTCTGAGCTGGGATCACAGAACAGGATCAAAGCCCATCAATAGCTGTGTTTCCATTGCAAATGTGCGCAAAACTTTGTCGATATTCTGTTAACGTCGAAAAAACACAGTTTCACAACTGCAGTGTTTCCATTAAGTAAGAAATGCAAACACACACAAACAGGTGTTTACATCCAGGGTTTTCTATTCAGACACTGACTGAATGGTATGTGCATATGTGTATTATAGATATATGTATATGTGTATATATATGAAAGTGTATGGGTATGTTTATATGTGTGTATATGGGTATGGTTTTCAGCAAGGCTATAGTCATTATAATTACATAGTTATGCATTTTTGTTGCTGTGGTTTTGTTATCTTTGTTTTGTAGGTGTGGAGCCAAGATGCCAGGTGTGCTG